TAGCTCGCAGCTAATTGTGAATTTCAAGCCCGCAGTTGAAACGAAGGTCCAGGAAATTTTGGTACAGGAGCATGCAAGGATAAGGTCATTAAACGTTTACAAAGATTAAATTCCAAATGTTGCGAAGCCCACAAAAATATTTGGCTCCACTACTCGGAATTAACTCACAGTCAATCCAAGTTAGCTCGCAGTTAATAAATGAAATGAAACTGCGAGTTAACTGCGAGTTAGTGATAAGGCAATAAGCGTTGTAACAAATAGAGACACAGGTATAACAGTGCTCATATCATCAAGAAGTCCTACACTGTTATACCTGTGTCTCTACTCCTAACAACACTATGGCCCGTAGTAAACTTCCCGTCAGGTGAGATGATCTGACCTGACGGGGCTATTCTAAGTCCACCGAGTTCACATGATCCCGATCCCTCCGCCATAGTATAAGGATACAAAGTCCGCAGATGGATCATGGTCATGCGAGGTTGTGCGATGAGATGAACTGAGCCCCTAAGGAGAGAGTTCGCCTGACGGGTCATACAAAGGAAATGGTGTGTCTTTTATGAGAGTCAGTCAGTCCGTTGCTCGGAACCAACTTACGAGCTCCCCTCACAAGGTGTACGTTTGCGTCAATTGTGGAGAGTCGCCGACCCAAAACTACACACTTTTGCTAGTGGTTTACCCAAGATTCGCTCCTAATCAATGATTTGGTTTGGAACGGTTCTGTCTACAACGTTACGGTGCACCTATGTTCTTTCATGACTCCTACACATTGGCAAAAGAGACTACCATTAAGCGGATTCGAACCATGGTCAATTGCTCACTGGTCGCCACCCCAACCACGGAACTATTAATACTTGATGGGACTACGTTATAAAACTGAAGCTAATTGCCCATGCTATGGATCTTTTCAATCAATTGTTCTCCTGTACCTTGCCTGCCTTGGAGTGAGTTCACCTGACCCTGTCTTCAGGTAATCTCCGCTGAGGGGACTTTACTACGGGCCTATCTCACCTTATCGTTGTAGAAATTCGCAGTTTTATTACATTTCTTCATTGCGCTAATCCGACGGTTAACTGCGAGTTAGCTCCAAGTTTCAAAACAACGCAGAGGATATTGACACGAATATCACGCGCTATATGCAAAACGCGCTAGTTTAAGTTATTACACAACGCAACAAGAAAATATCATCCCATAGAATCTCTCTTAATAAAGCTTTGGAAGGTCGAGTAGTTATGATTGGTAGTCTAGTGGTATTAGCAACAGTGTAACAGGTTGACCATCGTGGGTTCAATCTTGCTGGAGTCACATGGATTTGCAACCAATGTTTCTATCTTTGACTGGCACTAATTCGCAGTTAGCTCCTTCTTTCAAAGAAATTGGAGTTAACTGCGAGCTAATGACG